CCATGGCAGATACATACCCACACTCACATACAGTCCGCCATGGCAGATACATACCCACACTCACATACAGTCCACCACGGTAGATAAGTACCCACAACATGTGTTATGAACACGGTGCATTTTTTTCATATCCAAAGTAAAAAACATCAGAGTCTTCTTCCATTCGTTGAGCTAGGTGATATTTACACAAATGTAGTCAGTTAGAAAAAAAACTTAGAGGTGCTGAAGAGTGGGCTCAGTGGTTAAGAACACTTACTGCTCTTACAGAGGACTTGGGTTTGATTCCTACCACCAACATGGTAGCTCAAAACTCTAACTCCAGGACCAGGGGAACTCAGGTCCTCTCCTGACCTCAAGGGCACAAGCATACACATAAGGCATGTACATATGGACAGACAAAACATTCATATACATAAAATAATTAAATAAATCTTTTTAAAAATGTAGAAACAGTTCTCATTTTAAAGAGCCAGTCATGGTCAAGCAAAACAGTTCGGCAGGTAAAGTTGCTTGTTGCCAGGTCTGATAAGCTGAGTTCAAGATACTGGATCCACAGATGCAAAGAGTAAACCCAGTCCAGCAAGTTTCCCTCTAACCTCCTCACATATGTTGTGGAATACGTACCCACATACCCACACAAAATAGATAAAATGTAAGGGGCAGCAGAATGGCTCCATGGGTAAGAAAGGTGCCTGCTGCCAAGCCTGACAAGAGGGGTACAAGTCCCAGGAGCCACATGGTAGAAATAGTGATCCAATTCCCTCAAGCTGTCCTCTGACCTCCATACATGTGCCTTGGCATATGTATGTGCACACACACTAAACAGACATGTATTCTTTAAAGTATTAAGGAAAAAACACTTCACTTAAAAAGAAGGCTGAAGAAAGGGCTTGGTGGTTAAATGCACTCCCTGCTCTTCTGGACGAAGTACTAGTCTCAGCACCCACACCCACACCAGGCACCTCACACCATCTACAATTCCAGCTCCAGGAGATCCAACACCCTGTTCTGGCCTTTGAGAGTACCCATATACATATGGAATTCATTCACATAGACATACACATAAAAATTATAAAATAAACCTTAACAAATACAAAAAAAAAACAAGTCAGTTATAAAAGACCACATTTTATATGGTTCTTTAATTTTCATAGTAAATTAAGCAATGATCATGTTCTAAATTTGACTATCTGATTAATACATTTCTCTATGACAACACAAAAATCAAAGAGTCATATACATTATCTTGCAAAGTTTTGAGTATTTTTGAAACACTGTTTTGCTGTCTTAGTTATTTTCTGTATGTAGTGAGACCCTGTCTCAAAATAAAACAAAAAAGTTCAATTTCTAATAAAAAAAACCCTCTACAATTTCTTCCCAACCCATGTTTCTCAGTCTTATCAATCACTGTCGTCCAATACTAATGTCATCTGAGTCAGGCTTCTCTATTTGGAGTCTCCTAAAACACAACTTGTACATCTCACAGCTTTGCCTGAAATCTTCCCCTCATAACTAACACGATTTATTCCTGTCAAAGCCCTAAACCACAGAATATGGTGGCACACCAGTACTTGACAGGCAGAAGCAGGCAGATCCCTAAACCTAAGGGCAGCTTGAGCTACATAGAAAGTTTCAAACTAGCCAGAGCTTCATAGTGAAACTATCTTGTAAAAAAAAAAAAATCCCAATTTCAATTTACCCTTCCAAGGCCAGACTCAGTGCTTACATCTTTTATACCTTTACTAATCACTGACTTGCATGATTTCATTTTCAAATATACTATAGTAATTATTATCTTCCTTTTTTATTGTTGTCTTTTATAATTCAACTTTTTAAAAATGTGTCGGGTGCTTTGTCTGCATTGTGTAACTATGTACTACTTGTGTGTAGTGCCTGCAGAGGCCAGAAGAGGACACCTGATCCTCTGAAACTAAGGCTAAACTAGATGAAAGCTAAAGCTAGCTTTGACCTACCCCGTAAGTGCTAGGAATTGAACCCAGGCCCTCTGAAAGAGCAGCAGCTGCTCTTGGCCACTGAGCCACATCTATCCTCATAATTCAACTATGAGTTGTTACCTTCATGTGATTTCTTTAATTCCCTTGCTACATTTTTGTACTACTGAACTACAAAAAGCTAAATCCTTTTAATCTAGGGACTGAAAGGATGGCTCGGTGGTTAAGAGCACTCACTGCTCTTGCAGAGGACATGGGATCAATTCCCAGCACCCACATGTCAGCTTAAAACTGTTTATAATTCTAGTTTCAGGGACTGCAACACATTCTTCTGAACCCCATGAGCACTAACCCTGCAGGCAGTATGCAAGCATACATGTAAGCAAAACACTCACACACATAAGGAAATCTCTAATAAAAATAAATTTATGCCTACCCAGTACGAGGAAAGAAACAGGATGACAACATGAATTTTCATAAATAAAATAAATGCATGAAATCCATTCCCAAAGCCAAGAGGAATTTAGTTACATGGTCTGTAATGCTTGTCCTTGAAAATCTTCTAGGTGCCCAGTAGGTTGATTTCCTGGCATTATTAAGATATTAATAGGAACAATTATGCTAGTTAATAAAAAATCGGTCCATTTGCAACTTGTAAAATATAATATTTCCCTTCTCAGTGGTTTTGATGTAGTTTTTGCAGTGTTGAGAACATTCAGACCAAGTCACCCAAAGAATTCTGATATGGTTTAGAAGGGGAAATGACAATCACTGGGCTAAATCAACAAAATTCTGTCGGTAGCATTATTTTCTTTAAAGATATAAAGCAAATACTTATTAATCTGTGAGACAGTGCAGCAAAGATGTCTGCTGTGTAATATCTTCTGTACTCTTGACATATCTTTAAGTATAGAACCCACATTAGGAGGCATGCCAACATGTACAAATACAGTATTTGAAGCCCAACGCTGGTCGATATTTACTTACCAGAGTATCATCTTGCAATGAAGCAAAAAAGAAGCCATACAGTGAATTAATTTGCTTCTTATGATCAATAAAGTCAAACATTGCAACCAACCAACGATAAAAAAGTACCTGTTTGACAGAGAAAAAACACTATCCTTAAAGAAATGTAACTAATTGTCACAAAAGAACGTTAATCCCCGCCTAGCGTTATTTTAAAAGCGTCTAGCACCAAGTAGGATAATAGATTTTTATTTCGTCATACAAATTTCTTTTTGAACAGGGTCCTTTTATCAAGCTATAGTGTTCTGAAACCACAGGTTATGTACAAAAGGCCACTGCCATTACTCCATAAGTGGCTCTTCTTTGCTAGCCCTTAAGTGGCTTCTGAAGGACTTATCATCAAAGTATCCAAAAAGATTACCTTGATATTACCAGAACACTTGTCAACACAGAGCCAGGATACTGCCTTAAGCACAGAGTCTTCGGCTATGTGAGTTTCTGGAATCAAGCACTTCAATATCCGTGTGTTTACAGCATTCCCTGGAAAACAGACCAACTGTAAACTAAACTGGATCTCAGGGTCTCAATTGTTCCTTTGCTATTAATCACTATGGGTCATAACTTTAAAACCTCTACAACAAACTAAGAAGCAAATTATGTTGGGTGTGTACATGTCCACATGCATGCAGATGTGTGTGCATGTACACATGCATCTGTGTGAAGGACAAAGCTTGGTGTTAGGTATCTCCATTAATTGTTCTTCACCTTGCTTTTCAAAAATTATTTGTATTGTATTATTTTATACATATGGGTATTTTGCCTGCATGCATGTTTGTGTATGTACCATGTGCATGCAGGCCCCACTGAGGTCAAAAGAGGGGACTGAATCCCCTGGAACTGAAGTTAGAGACAACTGTAAGCTACCACTGGGTAGTGGGAATCAAAGCTGGGTCCTCTGGAAGAGCAGCATGTGCTCATAACCACTGAGCCTTCTCTCTAGCCCCACCAACCTTACTTTTTGAGACAGGGTTTGTCAAGTGAGCTGGAGCTCACAGACTCAGCTAGATTGGCTGCTCAGCAAGCCCTAGGGATCCTCAGGTCTCCATCTCCACAGCATTGGGATTACAGGTACATGCCTTTGCCCCTGGCTTGCTTTCTTTCTCTATATGTACGGGTATCTTGTTTGCATACACGTATATGCGTCACATGTACATCTGAGGCCAGAAGAGTGTGTCAGATCCCTGGGACTAGAGTTACAGAAGGGTGTGAGGCACCATACAGGTCCTAGGAATTAAACTCATGTCCCCTCACAAGTGCTCTTAACCACTGAGCCATCTGTCTAGCCCCTTGCCCTTGACTTTTAACTGACTCCTGCGAATCTAAACACAGATTCTCATTCTTGTACGGCAAGCACTTTGCCAACTGAGCCATCTCCTCAGTTCTTAAGTCTAATTATTTGACCCAAATACATCTATGATTTTTTTCAAAAAGGTTAAGGGACTAGGCCTGGTGGCTCCCACCTTTAATCCCAGCACCTGGGAGACAAAGGTAGGTGGATTTCTGAGTTCAAGGCCAATCTGATCTACAGAGTGAATTCCAGGACAGCCAGGACTGTTACACAGAGAAACCCTGTCTCGAAAATGTTGGGGTATGTTAAGAGCTGACTATGGAAGTACAGGCCTGTAATCCTAGCTCTCAAGAGGCTGAGGCATGAGGATCATAAGTTTGAGGTCCGCCTAAGCTGTATTCAGTATTACCTTGTCTCACAAAGAAGAAATGAGAAAAGCATTTCCTTTTGATTAAATGATTAAAATATTTAGCAATTTGATCATTTTGATGATTGTAGGACTCAGTGAATATGCAAAAGATACAATGAGGCTATTTTTTCAGTCCCAGGGCTTAAACTCTGGGCCTCAAGCATGTTAGGCAAGCACTCTATCACTGCTCCGTATCCTCATCCTAAAACATTCAATTCTTAAAGCATCAAAATTTTAGTACTATATGAATTATATCTCAACACTAAAAAGCCTTTCAATCACAGGGAAATCTCAAAGTGTTTTTCACTTTATTTTTGCAATAACGCAATAGATTGTTATTAATGGGCTAAACCTACTAGCAGGTATCTTCATGAGTTGTTGCATTTAAGACTGTCTTAAAGGGGCTGGGTATGGTAACTCATACCTCTATTCCTAGAACTTGAGAAGCAAAAGCAGCTCAATCTATAAGTTTCAGGCCAATCTGGTCTACAGAGTGAGTTCCAGGACAGCCAGAGCTACAAAGAGACCTTTCTCTGTGAGGATGTCAGATCTTGGAGTTACAGATAGTTGTGAGCTGCTATGTAGAAGCTGAGATTTGAACCTTAACTGCTGAACCATCTCTCCAGGCCCTGAGAAACCCTGTCTTCAATTTTTTTAAAAAAGGGTGTTGGGGGGAGGGCTGGAGAGATGGCTCAGCAGTTAGGAGTGTATACTGTTCTTACAAAGGACCAGAGGTTGGCTCCTAGGGCCCATATGAGTGGCTCAGAAGCACCTGCAACTGTAGGTTCAATGGCTATGATGCCTCTTAGCTCTGCAGGCACTGACATCTATATGCTCGTATCTCCACACAGATACAAACACAACTAAACTTAAATCTTTTAAAAAAGAATTTAAAAACAGGATGGCAACCGCAACTTTCCCTAAAAGCTGGGAAAGTTGTAGAATGAAAGGCATTCTCTTGGGATTAGCTGGGGTTGTAGCATTCTGTACTAATCTAATCATTCCTTCCTGTTCTCTATCCTGCACAGTGCTTTCTTTCTGTGTGCTTTTTACCAACAATGTCCACAGTGTCATTCTGTAGAGAAGATGCAAAGCAATGATGGTAGGGTTAGAAAAAAAAAAGGAAAAACAAGCAGCAACAACAACAAAACAAAGAATAAAAAAATCTTAATAAAAAATGATTTTCCTGGCGATTCTAGGTTTTATTATCTCCCATTTCTATCCACTAGCCTTTTTAAACTTTCAAACAGACTCTCCACTACATCCTTGCCAGATAACAAACTCAAAGTGGGGCTTCTACACTTACTCTGTTTTCCTCAGTAACTTCTGAAGTTCGTGTACAGCCTAAAGCAGTGGTTCTCAATGCTTTTGAGGATCACATAGCAGATATTTGCATTACGATTCACAACAGTGCCAGAATTAAAGTTATGAGGTAGCAATGAAAATAACTTCACGGTTGGGGGAACACCACGACATGAAGAACTGTATTAAAGGGTCACAGCATTAGGAAGACAGAGAACCATGGATCTACAGTCTCTATGCATGTCTGATGCCATTTCTAGCATACCTTTTTCCAAAATACTCATTTCAATGTTCCCAGAGATAAATGTAATGGTCTAATACGGAGAACAATACAGAAATACCTAACAGAGAAAAGAAGAATCCTGATGGTAACATTTGACCTCGGAATATTTCAATTTAACATAAAAATAAAAAAGTAACAGCTAGGTATGGTGGTGCACACCTTTTTCTTAGCACTCAGGGGGGCAGACCTAAGCAGATATTTCTGAGTTCAAGGCCAGCCCTGTCTGTAAAGCAAGTTTCAGGCCAGCCAAAGCTATAATGTGAGACCCTGTCTCAAAAATAATAAATAAATAAATAAATAAATAAATAAGTAAATAAGTAAATAAGTAAATAAATAGGTAAATAAATAGATAAATGTAACAAAAGCCACAGAGTATTCTCTTTCCTTTTCTGTTTTTTTTTTTTTGATAGGCTCATTATGTGGCCCAGTCTGATCTTGAAGTCAAAGCAATCCTCGGCCTCAGTTTCTCTAGTGTTGAGATTTACCTATGTGCACTACCACATTAGCTTAGCTCAGAGATTGCTCTTTCAAATATTATAAACAAATTTCCAGAGCCTGAGACATTTTACAATACCTCAATATCTGGTATACATCCGGAAAAGCTTCCAACCACTAATTTATGGTCGGGTATCAGATATTTCCATATCAAAACAGAAAAAAATTTTAAACTGCCCATTCTACATATATTTTTTAAGGGAGACACAAATGTAAAATTGATCTCAGCAGAAATCAATGAAACACAAATTCCTGAAAAGGTAGGAGAACCAAAGTATCTGAAACCACCACCTTCAAGGACAGAAATTCATTAAGTCTGGCTTAACTATCGATGAACACACAGAACTAACTAATCAGGTAGAGAACTGAAGTAAGATACTTGAAATCAGCCAGTATGTTACCTTTAAAGTGAAAGCACATATAACCACACTCACACCCACTTCTGTAAACAGAATGGAAGGTTATACATTAATATGCAAAGACAAGAAAACAGTTTGGATTTAAAGCATAGGTGTGACAGCTGTACCATTATCGAGTTAGGAGATGTGATTTTCCTGATTCTAGCTTTAACATTAAGTCTTTTTAACCAGTCTGGGCCTGTCTTCACATTTTTGTATTATCTTCTACATTTGTGTGTGTGTATGTGTGTGTGTGTCCCTATACTGTGTCATATGCATGGAGGTCAGAGGACTCCCAGTGGGAGAGTGGGAACTGGTCCTCTCAGTCCACTATGTGGGCCCCAGGGACTGAACTCAAGTCTCAGGCTTGCACAGAGGCCTGATGAGCCAGCCTGTTAATCTATACACACTAAAATGAAGATAAGCTATCCTGAATGTGTGAATTCAGGTGAGAGAAAGCTAAAAGTAAAAAGAACACTGATCAGGTGGTATTTCTTAGTCTCTCTCCTACCTCTCATGCTAATCAATGAACTTAGGACAAGAAGTGGGAGAAAAAAGAATTTGGACGGCCAGGGTCAGAGATACTGAAATGAAGACAGTATAAATAGATACTTGTCAGATAAATATACCTAAAGCAATAAAACAGACTAAGTGATCCTTTAAAGACCCTCTTTGGGAACACTATTTAATCTATGGTTCTAAAAAGCTGCTAAAAATGGTTCCCTGGATCTGGTGACAGAGTCCCATCTGCATGTTCCGTACAAAGATGTGGTAACTGGTCACTTTCAGCAATACGCACACAGATATCCTTGGCTCGTGAAATAGTCTAAACATAGGAAATCCACCTTGTCATCTTACTAGATTGATCTTATGGAAAGAATAGGGCAACTGATTTCAACACACAACTTAATACAAAAAAAAAATCTTCAAGGTCTGGGGCTCAGAAGTTAGGAAAACTTGATGCTCTAGCAGAGGACATAGGTTTGGTTCCTAAGACCCAATGGTGGCTCACAACCACCAGCACCAGAGTATTCCACACACTCTGACTTCCACAGACACCAGACACACACAAAGTTTACATACATACAAACAAGCAAAAACACTCATATACATAAAACAAGGTAAACAAATCTTAAAAAAAGAGAAGCCCAGCTGTGGTGGTACACATCTGTATTGCCAGCACTTGGGAAGCAGAAGCAGAAGGATCAAAGCAAATCCAAGATCAGCCTAGTCTACTTAGCAAACTCTAAGTCAGCTTCAGTTATCTCATTGTATCTCTCCGTGTGTGTATATGCTTCTCGTGGTTTTTGTTGGGCTGTTTGGTTTGTTCTAGTCTAGTTTGTTTATTTGCCTATGTTATTTAGTTTTTTTCTAAAGAGAGAGAAAGAAGGCAAGAGTGGAGTGAGATAAGTCAGGAGGTAGGGATGATCTAGGAGGATGATAAAGGAGAAACCATGATCACAATATATTGTATAAAAACCAACTGTCAATAAAAAAAAAAACAAGAAAAGACACATTACATTTCCTTTTGAAAGAAAAAAAACACACAATAAAACCCACAAACCGTGAGGAAAGCGAAACTAACAAAAAACTGGTGACAAATGGAACATACCAAACTTGCCACTGAGTGCTACATTCAATAAAATATCAATTGCTTCTGGAGCTAAGCCGTTGTTCAAAGCCACATTTTCCACGGTTTTCAAGTGTTTTCCCAAGACCATATCTTTACTCAGTGAAGCTTTCTTAGGACCTGGAAAAAGAAAAATATCAAACAATGAGACCTTGAAGATCCCTCCCATCTCCATGCTCAACAATTACAACCTTGTTAAAGGGACAGATGTATGCAACAAATATTTTTTCCTTAAAAAAAAAAAACCTTGAGAGCCTTTATTACTCAATACTTTCATCATGCACTGACATCTATAATACATAAATATATGAGAAAGAGAGAGAGAGAGAGAGAGAGAGAGAGAGAGAGAGAGAATTCAACTTAAGACCTCTTTCAAATTAGAACAATTCCCAAATTCTGCAGTGCACTGAATTACCTAGAAATCTTTATTTGTGTATATAGGTGTGCACGTGCCCACTCCTGTGCATGTGTAGCCGTGTGTGTGTGTGTGTGTTTCTCTGTGTGTGTCTGTGTGTGGTAGGGGGAGACAATGGTGATGCTGCTAACTCTCCACCCTTTCTTTGAGACAGGCTTCTCACTGAACTGGGAGCTCCCAATTCGGCTAGACTTCTGGCCAGTAAGCTATAAGAAGTCTCTCATCTCTGCTGCCCTAGTACTTCCAGTATAAGCACAAATACTATGCCAAGAGTTTTACATGTACACTTAGCAACGGGGCCATCTCCCCAGTCTACTAGAAACCTTTTAAAAATGACAGTGCCAAGTTACGTCTCACACTAACAAAATCAGATGGCCAAGAGGAGATGATAAACATTAGTCTGTTTTGAAGATTCTCAGATGATCACAGAGTCTGCCAAGTATGCTGGGAAGATGTCTTGTTTTCTCTATATCATATAATATACTATTATATAGTACATTCTCTATAAATGACTATTAAATAAAAATTTGAGTAAATGAAAACATGTTTCCTTTAAAAGCATCTCACAGGTGGCCATGATGATGCCTTGAATCCTAGCACTTAGGAGAAAGAGACAGGTGGATCTCTGTGAGTCTGAGGCCAGCTAGTCTACATAGTAAGTTCCAGGCCAGAGAGGGCTATACAGTGAGACCCTGTCTCAAAAAAGATCTTAAGGGAAAAAAACAAGAATTATTTTTAGACAGGTTCACACTATATAGCCCAATGTAGCCTTTTATTTATGTTCCTCTTACCTAAGCTTTACCTCCAGTGCTTGGAATTCCAGATGTGTCTGCCACTACATCCAGCAATTACAACTGCAATATCTTTAGAGAGACATAGGACTTTAGGGGCTGGGGCTGTAGCTCAGTTGCTAGAGTTCTGGGATCTATCTCTAACTCCACATAAACCAGACATGGTAATACACACCTAGAATCTCAGCAATTAGGAGTTAGAAGCAGGCAGATTGGGAGCTGCAGGCAACCCTCAGCTACAAAGTGAATTCAAAGCCAGCCTGGGATACAGAGACTCTGTCTCAATACAAAAACGTAAATAAAAACAATACAAAACAAAACTTCTGTACATTCACAAGGAAAACAACCTCCCTTTACCTTTCTGGAAGTATCCTATGGCTATCTGCAGAGCATCTTCAGTTTGCTCATCAGCATGTTTAGAATCTTCCATCGAACTGATTTCTTTCGAGACACTCTTGGAGTTGCCTGATTTGTCTTTCACCTTCCAGTCTAAGAGACTGGTCTGACGACTATTATTGCCTTGAGAAATTCTGTTTCGTAGCTGGGAGTTTCTAGTAAGCCTTTGAGTTGACATTGCTGTATTCATGTTCTAGACAGAAACAAGTGCCACGTTACTATTAATCACTACAGACATAACCATATTTGTTGGAATTCTCATATGCAACAGGTATTCAATGGAGACATAATCCATAGGCTAGCCTTTTTTTAAAAGAAAGCCCTTGACCCAAACAGAAACAGATTAATAACTTGCCATTGTAAATATTATCAGCTAAACTCTGACAACATATGTTCCCTTTTAAAATGGCTGTATCATATAAATACAAAACCGTTCCATTTCATCTTTTTCCACACCTATCCCTCCTTTTTCTCTCTACCACTCCTTGATTTTGCCTTCACTCTTTATAATCCTTTTGTCTCAGTACTATGTTAAAACCACCACACGGTTTAAAATGCTAACTAGTGTCTAGGGTAATATGTTATCCATTTATTAATTCACACATTTAACAAATAATTACTGTGTACCATCTTTATGCCAAACACAAGACTAGTTACCAAGGCTGTAAAAATAAAACATCATGGTATTTTTTTTAAAAATAAAACCCCACACTAGGGCTTGACAGTTAATAAGCCAATGAACCAACATGTGACTGGCATGGTGAAATGAAAGAAACAGGACAAAGTAGGAATCTAATTTGATGCAGATATTCAGAAAATGCCTCTTCTGTTTGAACGAGAAAGCCCCTCATAAGTCCATGTATTTGAATACTTGGTCCCCAGTTGGTGGAACTGTTTGGGATGAATTGGGTTTGGCCCTAATCCGTTAGAAGAGGCCCATTTAGCCCTCTATCTTGTGTGTATGGATCAGATCAAATAAGCTCTGAGCTACTGTTCCAGTACCATGCCTGCTTGCCTGCCACCACGACGGTCACGGACTCCACAACTCTCTGCAATAGTAAACCTCAAATTAAATGCTTTGTTTTATAAGTTGTCAATAGGAAAATAATTAAGACGCCTCTCTCAAGTGCCTTTAAGGTGAAATCTAAGTGCCATGGAGTATAAGGAAGGAGTAGGGACTCTTGACTTTTCAGTGTTATAGGAAGCCGCAGGAGATAAAAGACTTAAGACCGTATTTTTCTGTTGAGAAGACTGGAGTCCAGAAGTGTCAAGAAAACTTACCAAGCTTTGGCAAAGAAAGCAGATGACTGGCCCACAGTAGGCCCAGGCTGTGTAAAAGTGTAAAAAAGACAGTCATTTAGAGGAAGACTGGATGCTCCATTCAGCAGCATATGCACTTAGGGAGACTGTTAAAACAGGAAAACAAAACAACGACAAAAAAAATTAGACACAGGAGTGAGGGAAACCAAGAATGACCAATAAGGAACCAAAACTGACTTCTCAGGTTTTTGCTTCAAGTGGGAAAAATCTATGGGGACAGATGGAATGACATTAATCTCTTCACCTTAGAACAAATGAGACCAGAGGAAGAGAGCAAGTAAATTCAAATCTGAGGAAGAGATCCCATGACAGAAGCGTCCTATAGAGGAGGAGCCAGGGAGCAGATTAATGACCCCATTAGACGAACTGTTCTAGCACCTCTTTTGGGTCAATTCACAATTCTCCTCCCCTCCCCACCCAACAGTGAAATTGGCAAACCACTCCCGACTAGGCCGATTCCTGGGACCACAGAGAAAAATTCGATCCCAGATAGCCTTTTCAGGATTAGTTCTACACCCGCGAGTCATGGGATTCCAGAAGATCTCTAAGCCTCCACCCCAACCCCAGCCGCTTGGCAACTCACGTAGAGAACCTCCGTGAACACACAGCCTCCGGAGCCCAAAAACCGCCTCTGAGATTCAAAGGCGCGGGCCACGCCCCGCGCATGCGCCTCCCAGGAGACCGCGCGGCAGAAGAGTTAATTCAACCAAAAAAACTAATTGGCTCGAGTGCTGCTCTAGGGCGGGAGGTGGCGCGCGCGCGAGCGGAAAGTGACGCGACTCAATGACGCAGAGCGGCTGGCCCCACCCACGTAGGCCTGCGGCGCGCCCCTGTGGGCGGTTGCTCCAGGTGTCCCTTGGTGAGTTGCATTGTGTGAGTCTTGAAAAGGCTTGCATCAGTCATTCTGAGTGAAACAGTGCTAAGTGGCTAGAGTTTAATGTGGTCAAGTGTCCTATTCATTTTGTCCGCACGGACCCCCAAATGTCTGGGCTTTGAACCTGCAGAAAAAAATGTGAAACTGAAATTTTGACAATAGTGGATTTTCCCCTATGCTGAGTGGCTTAAAAAGTCTGTCGCTTTCCTTTAGAGTTGGGACAGTGGGGGAGAGGAAACCACAAGACCTGCCTGATTTTGACAGACGATGGGTACAGGTAACTTAAACTTACTAAAAGCATATTCTGAGTAACAGGTTAATATACCTGGAAGGCTGTCAACATGTAAAAATAAATCTTAACTTTAAAGAACTAACTGGCCTTAAACTAGTGAAACTAGCAACAAGAACTTAGGCCGTGGTCTAACTTTAGCCCCTAATTCAATATCTTTTAAACTGGGAGTAAAACCCAGAGTGGTTTCTCAAGCCTGAAATCCCAGCACAGGAGAGATGAAGAAGAGAAATCACTGAAGGTTCAAGGACTCCCTAAAGACAGTGCGACCCTTCTCTTTAAAAGGAGAAAAATGGCTAGGAATAAGAGATAAATGTAATGCCTCTTAGCGACTTGAGAGCATAATATTATTATGAACTTTATGCAAAATTATAAAGGAAAAAAATTTGTCATGTCAGATAAGCATAATCGAGGATTAAGTTGAAGTATCTGAGATAGACTACAGCAGAAATGACTACCACATCTAACATGGCTTTCAGAGTAGTAGGACAAACTCATTTACTCATGCATAAAAATTGAGACTGTTCATTTTTTTCTGATAGCTGCTCTTTAGTAAAATTGAAATTTTTATTGAGCCATTTTTCATGCCTTTAATGATTTAATAGACTCAAAGAAGTGTAAACTGGACAGGATTGAAGGCTTCACCCTCCTTTTCACAGATGAAATGGTACCCTAAGTGATGAAATAGCTTACTTAACATGACAAATTTGTGGCAGTACAACTTGTCATTTTGTGGACACACTGTGGTGAGAGACACTGTTTCATATTTATTTAATGAACCCTTGGGGTTTTCTGAAATAGTTTTTCATCTTTTCCTTTGACTCACTAAATAAAGACCTTCCTAAACCTGGAGATGGGATTAGGTTCCTGACCCTAAGGCTTTCCCTCTTACATGGTAACATCAAAAAAAGCATGAAGAAACTTAAAAGGATGAGCAAGTTAGCAGCCTCATTTGTATACTGAGACTATTATGCCCTTATTGTCTTCTCCTTCATCTAGATGTTTGTTTGTTTGTTTGTTTGTAAGCCAGAAGCTAGGTGTGGTGGCACATAACTTTATCCCAGCACTTAGAAGGCAGAGGCAGGTGGATTTTTCTGAGTTCCAGGCCAGCCATGAATACATAGTGACACCTAGTTTCAGAGAGGGAGAAAGGGCAAGAGAATCTCTACTTTGAGGCCAATTTATGCTACAGAGTGAGACCCTGTCTTAAATATCAACAACACAAAAACCTCAAGAAATTCACGAAGACAGAAGAATCCAAGTCCCTTGCTTATAGGGACTTTTCTTTCCATGATTTGCAGTCCATAGCCACACCATGTCCTCCAAATTTCAAAAACCTTTATTTTTGAAAGAATGAGCGAAAGAAGACAAGTATCAATTACCAAGAACAATGGCACTGAAGAAAATACAGTAAGCACTCTCCCCACACACAACCCCATCCCTCCCCCATCCCGGGCACAACAATATTAAAACCATCAAAGCACAGTTAACAAAGAGAAACAGCAGTATGTAACTACAAAAGCAAATTTCCATACTGGTCAATCCAACTAACCCATGTCAAATGTCCTTCCCCCAGCTAAACTCCACCCTCTGGAATGCTGAAGAGGTGTAAAGTAGAGTATCTGAAGATATCTACAGATATCTAGGAGCTATTATGGACTTTGTTAACTTTAACAAAGTTTGGTGGGGAATCACTAGGAGTAGAGAACTCTTCCTACAGATAAACACTGGCTATAGCTTCTCCATCCAATTGCAGGTTTCAGAAAAACACTAGGGCTGGAGATTGACACTTGTACCAGGACCAATCCCTGGTCCCTCAGTGGAAACAGTGCGGAAGCTTCAGATCCTGGTTGGCTCCTGAGAATGGTAAAGTGGGGCAGCTTTGTGCTTAAAACAAAAGTTGACAGTGTCTAGTAAAAAAGGTTACTAAGTGAATTTCCAACCACTAAAGAGCTCAGTAGCTTGGGCTCAGACAAAGGCAAGGAGACCCCTCCAACTGCATCGCTTGAAGAATCCAACTAGGTTATTTGTTTTCCACCAGGAAACAACCTTCTTGATGGGATGGTTCTTTTACTCTGTCTTCGCTGGCATCAATTTATAAAGGGAAGGATACTTGTTCAGGATTAGTTCAAGATCAGAGCCTCCTCTACACGTACGAGTATACCCACATACATGGCAGTTAAATACATTGCCCCACGCATATCTCAGAGTCACATGCTTGCTGGAGTCCATCTCACAAATACACCTCAATAATAGCCATATACATGTACATGCAGCAAGATGTGAGTGTTGCTCCAGAGTGATTAAAGGTGGTGCACGAACGTCAATGTGGGGAGGTCATTTTAGGGTATAAATGTACACAAGCCAATTAACTTACAGATTGTAGTTTTCTCTTAACCCCCAAGATAAACAAAGCAAAGGAAAACACACACACACACACACACTGATGTCATCTTGGGTGTCAAGAAAGCAACTGCCTAGAAGGTCCATTCTTTGCACTTCCAATTTTTATGACACCTTCACTTTGCCCTGTGGGGCCTTCTCATATAAGGATGGTTGCTCCTCTGCACTCTCAGGCAAGGCCTTCTTCTCAGAAGATCGGTCTTCAGGCTTGCGGGCAATCAACAGGCGGCAGGTGAGCAGGATTCCAAACACCAGAGCGTGGGCATATCGCTTGAGAGGATCACCAACAAGCTGGTGGAAGAAAAGCACAGCCAACACCAGCAAAAGCAGGAAGAAGTTGGCCACATCTTTGGGACGACCAGGTACCAGGGTCATGACAATGCCACAGGCCACTTCAAGCGCACCAATGCTTTTCCGAAGGAGAATGGAGTTGATGCCCATTTTCTTCAGCAGAGGAAGGGCTCGAACATAGCTCTTGTAAGCACGTTTCTACAGTGGGGATATCATAAGGAAATCAATGCATTAACCACATGTTTAATATTAGAATAAAGAACATACCAGCAGGCATCATTTCCCTACCATCATCTTTAGAAGGGACCATCCAACTACAAAGGCCATCAACCAACTCAAACCTACTAGCACCTTGTCTTTAAATTTAGCCTCCTGAGCTGTGAAAAATCAAACGTGTGTTGTCCACAAAGTGCTAATCTGTAATATTTTGTTATGGCAAATCTGAATGGACTAAGACAGGCACCAAAAGTAGTGATGCAGCAAATTTAGTTCTGTAAAAGTTGCTGCCTGTAAATTACTAAGAAATTAAAAGAAATTCACTGAACCCAGAAAGCTGGGCCATGTGATCTGTATCTGCACTTTCTAGTGCCTGCTTTGTCCAAACCCAGGCTCAAGACAAAGGATGGCAAAGCCTCACTACTTTGAACTTCCTTTATTGGAATGTGTGGTAGGTTTTAAAAAGTGGAGTTGGAGTATATTTGTAGAATCTACCAAACATTCTGATCAATTATTTTTAAATGGGGCTACAGTTGACAGTATTTGCCTAGCATGCATAGTGCCTTAGGTTCAACCCTTAGGTTGGCACTCCCGTGGTAAGGGCAAGAGAATCAGAAGTTGACGGTCATCTTCAGCTACATAGAGTTAGAAGACAGCCTGCTATACACAATACCCAGTCTCGAAGAACAAATAAACCCTAGCTCCATTCACTGATTCAGTATTTATTCTTTCTGTATGCTAGACATTGTACTGAGTATTTCAAATGCAAATATGAATCTGTCAAAAGGCCTTACTTTCGTGAAGCTTGAAGTTTAAAGGGGAAAGGGTAGATACTGAAATGTGTGAGTGTGATAAAGTGTTGAGTGTCGCATAAAATAATATAGCAGTTATAGCTGGGGCATATCCTCAGATCTTCTCAGATGGTGACAGTGAGAGTGCAATCTTAAAAGAAAAGCTGGTGTTTACAAGAACAATAAGGGTCTGGCAAACAGAAGACACTGGAAGAGAGGAAAGACCCTGAAGCATAAAACAGATAAATGTATTGCAAACACTACCTCACTTTAGCATGGAGAGGGAAGAGATGAGATAAAATAGAAGCAAAACATACAAACTGCAACTTGGAGATTTTTATTGTGCTATTGAGCTTTGAGCTTTGGACTTTGACCCATATCCAGTGGAAGCAACATAATTTGATTTTAAGGAATGTCTTATTGGAAACCATGGGGATGTATTGAACAGGTATACTTGCCAACAAGAAGATAGTGTGAGATGCCTTAGACTAGCAATAACACACACACACACACACACACACACACACACACACCCCAAACAAGTAAATATAAAAACAATTCTAGGGCTAGAGGTATAGCTCAGTTGGTAGAGTGCTATCCTAGTATGCAGGAGAATGAATTGGGCATTGGGCATGTTAAGATATACCTGTAATCCTAGCTTGGAAGGAAGAGGCAAGAAGATCTGAAGGTCAAGGTCATCCTCAACTACGTAGTGAGTTTGAGGCCAGACTGAGATTGTGAGACTCTATAAGAAGGAGGAGGAGGAAGAGGAGGAAGAGGAGGAGGAGGAGGAGGAAGAGGAAGAGGAAGAGGAAGAGGAGGACTCTAGAACTCACAAATAAGAGAAAACAAGTGAATTTGTCTTTATGTATCTGATTTATTTAACTCCAGTTGCATCCATTTTCCAGAAAATGACAATTTCATTCTCCTTTATGGCTCAATAAAACTCCAACTCTAAGAAGAAACTAGTGGGGAGTAAAGAGAAGGCTCAGCAGTACTGCTGAACATGTATTGCTCCTTCAGAGGACCCAAGTTCAATTCCCAGCACCCTCTCTCTCTCTCTCTCTCTCTCTCTCTCTCTCTCTCTCTCTCTC